TGTGCACTTGTGTTTTCAGGAATTAGAATTTCACCTCATTGTGGCACATTTCTTATGTGCTATTTGTTTTCCATTTCTTAGGAAGCAATCAGTTCATACCCCACATCGTTTAAAAGGTTATCAGACTTGGCTTCAGGAGCAAATGCTCAACTAAGCCACCACGCATAACCTATCTTTCCTTAAGCCTCATCTAAACAGGAAAGAATGTGCAACATCATCTGAGCAAAAAATGCCCTAATATGGCAGAGAGTTAAATGCCCTGAGAATTAAGTGCTCTTTATAAAAGCTGTGCTAATTTTAGAGGGAAAGAGTAAAGAAAGAGATTTAACTCATTTTCCTGTACCATTCTGCAAAGATGTTGCGTTATAAACATCGTCCAGATCTTGGATACTGGAGGCATCTGTTGAATCTTGATCGTTGGCTACAATTCCTACTGAAGAAAGGCTAGAAATAAAGGATTGCATCCTTTTTGCATAAATATCTCTAATATTAAAATAATGGAGCTCATTTGCTTTCTCCTTGGGATTGTTGTTGCCCTGGTCCACATCAATATCCTTCTGCTTCTGATAGTATTTTGAAAATTTGTTGAAGATGATGGTAATGGGAAGAGCCACCACTAAGATTCCACAGATAATGCAGGTTGTGCCAATGATCTTTCCTGCAAGGGTGACTGGGAAGGTGTCCCCATAGCCAACAGTAGTCATGCTGATCGTGGCCCACCACCAACAGACTGGGATACTATGAAGCTCTGATGTGTCATCATCTTTTTCCACTGAGTAGACTAGAACAGAAAAAATAGAAATCCCAACAGCCAAGAACAAAAGCAAAAGTCCAACCTCATGGTAGCTGTGCCTCAATGTTGCACCCAGGGACCGCAGTCCAACAGAGTGCCTAGCTAACTTTAGTATACGGAATATTCTCATCAAGCGTAGAATTTGGACGACTTTCCCCATATTTTCAATATCTTCACTTTCTTCCTCCTTTGTATCCACTGCCAAAGTGGCATAAAATGGAATAATGGAGACAAAATCAATAATATTCAAGGGGTTCTTCCAGAACTTCTTCTGACTTGGAGCAACAGCCAACCTGATAATAAGCTCAGAAGTGAACCAGACAATGCATATGATCTCTACAACTTCCAGAATAGGGTCTTCAATCTCTCTTTCATTGGCATCAAATTTTTGGAACTCTGGCATACTGTGGATGCACATGGTTACAATGGATGCTAGGACCACACCCAGTGAGGAAACAGCAATCAGCTTTGCTGACAAACAATACGCAGGGTTCTCCATTCGGATCCATATTTTCTTGCGTAAGTTCCCAAACCACAGTTTATCAAACTTCTCAAGCTCCTTTTCAAATATGGATGACTCTTCTTCAGAAGAGTCCAGACTTCCATCATTGCTCTTCTGATCCCACTCTTTCTCTGGGTTTTCTTCTTTCCTTTCTTGGTACCGATTGCTGCAGCATGAATCAATGAAGAGTTCATTGATCCCCCAGTATTCTATTTCCTGGCAGAAGGAGAAGACACAAAGCTCTTCCATAACATGGAGTTTACCCGTGTAATAAAAATTGAGCACATATCTGAATAAGGAAGGGTTTCGATCAAAGTAATATTCCTTGTCTGCAACACTATAGTCATCACAAAGTTCCAGGATAGCCTCTTCCGAATGGCAATTTAGCAGCTTCCCAAGTCTTGTATGGGGAAATCGGAGTAATGTACTTTGGCCAATGGACTGCTTAAAACCACCTACATTCAAATTGACAAGCTCCTCATCTTGTCCTGGTCTGTGAAAGAATTCGCCATACACCATTTTGAATGCTGTAAGCTCTGGGTCCCGCTTGCAAGGCACATAATATTGCACGGGAAACCTACAAAGAAACACAAGCTCTCCTTAAGTAATTCAGTCCAGTTTTGTTCTTGGTGCAATTGCTTTTCATCTCTACTGTGAGAACTTACATTAAAAAAAATAGCGAAGATCTAAAAATGTCACAGACAGCACTAAACATTTTCAGTGCGGCAAAATTAAATTACTTAGATGGTCAGTTTAATCAGACTTCGCAAGCTTGAATAAAATTAAGTCTGATTTACAGTCTTATCTACCCTCCCACCCATCCTGGAGTGGAGAAAAGATTTAAATTGATTAACCTTGTCCTGCAGTTGTATCATATTTAAATTAATGTTCAATCTTTCAGAAAATTAAAGGGTCTCTCAGGTAGGCTTACTCTAATGAATCTCACTAGAAAAAAGAATTGCCTTCAAAATGCATTTGTTTTCCTAGTTACAAATTTACTTTCCAGAAACTTTATTATTCTGTTTAATTACCTGAATATTAAACCCTTTCTCACATCTGAACATGAAATAAGTATCCTATCCCTCCCTCACACTGCCTATAACACCTGATGGACTTTTGGTATATAGGCAGTCCCTGGATTATGAACAAGTTGTGTTCCTAAGAAAATGGAAATTAGTATTTAAGTTGAATTTTTATGTAAGTCAAATCATGTATAGTCAGCCCTCCACATTCACAGGATGTTAGGGGTGCAGGACTCCCGTGAAAGTAGAAAAACTGTGAATATCTCTACCCCCACTCACCAAAACTTACCAGTGCCTCCTCTTTGCAGCAAGGAAATACTAGAGAGATTTCCCTCTCTGGATGGGCAGGGCAATCCGGCTTTAGAGGCCTCCCTCTCTACCCTTTCACTTCTTCTTTCTCTATGGTGATGTTTTGGAGGCCTTCATTCTCTTCCCCTCCTCTCTCTATGGTGATTATAATTTCCTGCAGTAGGCCTTTAACTCAAATTTTTAAATTAATAGGCTTTGTGGCAGTTCATTTATAAGTATTGGTTGTTTATAACTTGCACATTCATAACCCAGAGACTGCCTGCAATTCCTCCTTGTGAGGGGAGGAGGAATTACTAGATGTATACTATATGCACCCTATATCTCATAATAAATGAGGTGCATTTCGGGGAGGAATAGACATTCGCTCCTCACCATGAAAACACTTTCAAAATGGGCTGGGCATTTTGTCATGGTCTTGGTTTCGAACATTTAGTTGGACATCAAATTTGGGAAGGAGCTAGAGACCTCAGGCAGCTCTACAATTTAGTCCATGAAAAAGCTGGGTATAGCCTCAGATGGTAAAGCAGCCACTGGAGCCAATAAGATACCAAGATCTAGTAGCTATGCTCCTGCAAGAAGGTCACCTGAACCTCACTTTGCAAAAGCCTTACTGAGCCATGGTGCCATCTACCCAGTCTTACACATGCTGCCTCCTCTCAGCAGTGATTCAAGAATGGAAGATGGAAAGTCATGAAACAACAAAGCAACAATGGAGGCGTGAGACTCGTGGCTAAAAAGTACTCTGTGAGGATTTCTCCTCTCCAGTTTGGTTGGAACCTAGGAAAGGCAACAGAAGTTGGTATTAGGAGATAGGCTTGCTCTGGTCTGGGAATGTGTTGAACTGTTACATGCATGGACGCTGGCCTGGTCTTATGGATCATTCCTTTGAACTTACCTTAGTTCTTGCTTTCTGACTTTATTTTGTGTGCCTGGACTCTTACTGGTTCTGTTTCCTGCTTATTAGGAAGGCTGGTTTTACCTGCTTCTCATGGACACCTGTCAGAAAAGCTCAGCTTGAGACACATGCACACTCCCACCTGCTCATTCCAACTAGCTATGTCCAAACTGTGACGTGACAAGCTAGCAGCCAAAAGAATTTTACCATATCTATTACAATAATGTACTAATGCTCAATTCTTAAATAATCAATCAATCATAAAATAAAATAAAATAAAATAAAATAAAATAAAATAAACACCTACATTCTCCTGGCCCTCACAGCTTTGCTTATGCAGAAAGCGCACAATGGTGTTTCCAAAAGAGTGCTCATTCACATGCCACAAAGCTCTTTGCTCTTGCAAGAATGTATACCTGCCTCTTATATGGAGTTCTCTATTGCTGTTCATGACTATCTTTTTGACCTTTTGGTACATTTATTCTAGATTCGAAAGGTTGATGAAACTAGCATACTAATCAGATATGCCCTACACATCTCTGATATGAGATATATTTGTATTTTTAAATGCATAGGTTTCAGCTGCCACCTGGAATATATAAAAACGTTGCCTGAGAAATTGCACCCTGATGTTCACATTTTGAACATCAGTAAGCTTTTTTATTATTTGAACATGTCACCTTCTGCATATCCTTTTCTCCCTTCCACTGTAACCATCTAGTTTACACCCGTAAAACAAACTTAACAACAGGACTGTTAAACCAAATTTAGTTCATCCAGGGTCCCAGTCTTGCCCTCTGTGGTTCCCCAAATGGCCATGCCCACTTCCTTGGCCCTGCTTCACCCCCAGCCACCTAGCTTTTGGTGATTTCCTGGCTTCTGCACAGTTCTTCCACCCTATCCTAAAGGACTGAAATGTTTCTCCCAAAGTCTACTACTGGCAAGAAGAGCTTGAAAATAAAATGTGCCCATGTGCTTGGTCCTCTGGCCTTGCTCCTTTTGCCTTCAGCTCCACCAGTAGCACATAGCTGCCAAGGGCTTCTCTGGAACTGAACTCAGCACTTGTGCTGAAAGAGACTCAGCCCCATTTTGCAACAATACGGTGTCTGTTTAGAAGAGTGCTTTGTGCCGGAAGTGCTGTCAGACAGGCTTTTACAGAGCAACGTTTCTCCCTCAAGCATGAAATTTTGTGGGTGCATGTATGCCGAGATTTCCATTTTTAAACTACCAGTGTTTTTATTCTGCATCAAACTTTTTCTTAGGGGAAAAAAAATCAATTCAGGAGGGAAAGACAGAATAGCTGCACAGAATTGCTTGACTGGCTGCACTGGAAACCCTCCATCTGGAAGCACCCTAACACTTCACTTCTGCGGGGAAAGCAAATTACTGATGTAATTACCTTCCTTTTCCTTTCTTAGCTATCATTAGGAATAACCTGGCAATGACAGACATTGGAATGTGTATTACTTTTGTACTTACCAGAAGTGATAGAAAGCCTCTTCTTAAGACATTTGCCAGTTCCAGAAACATTTCCTGTGGCAGCAGTTTTTGTCTATGCCCATATTGGTGCTACTTGTACAAGGAAACTGCAGCAACTTTTCTGGACAAGGGCAGCTGCCAAAAAGTTTGGCAACTCGAAATATTCCTGTAGATAAAAACAAGCAAAGATCACTTTGTTACCTGCATATCTTTTGGGGAAAGTTTGCCAGGAGGACAGAATGTGAAAAAGAGGTGGAAATTTGCTCTTTGAGATGGAGTTGAGACGTTATAAAGGGACACGGGTTAAAGGTAAGGAAAATCTGCCCTACACTGCATTTTGTACTATCCAAACTGAACCAAACTCTAACAATAGTTTGGAATCTAACACAAGTTTGTATTCTCTCTCCTCCTTTCTTACATATGGATACAATCCCTTTTCCACTGTTTGCAATAACCATAGTTTCTTATAATAATCAAACTGAGCAAAGTATAGATAACACAAACTGTAGTGTCTCCAAATGACAGTTTGCAAATCAGCAAACTTCAAATCAAAGGTTTCAAATCCAGGTTTCGAGGCTTTTCCCAGTTTGCATTAGCTTTTATTTATTCACCAGATTTGGACATTACAACAGACTATGGTTGTTGCAAAGGAAGAGAAACACTGCATGGAAGAGATGACAGCAATGCAAACGAGAATATACACAAACCTCTATAACACATCCCCCCATGATTTGAAAACTGGCTTTTGTGACCAGAACTAAACCATCCTGTAATCTGTCACTCTTTGGCCACCATTTACTGGCTTAGTCCTGCAATTCATGGGCCACATTAAAGAAGCAAAAGCTTTTACATGCTTGGCCTCCTATCATCCTCCATCCATCTTCTTCCACTTTCAAGCTTTTCTCCTGTGGACCTATTTATCTAATTTCATCTCCTGTTAGAAACTAAAAAATATGGCAGCTCCTAGGAAAGACGGTAACAAAGAAGAGAAGCTGCAGTGGGACCCAGACCACAGATCATGATTCTTAATTACCTGTTTTGAATATCCCAAAGGTTATCCCTGAACAACAATCCAAGATTCTTGCAATGACTCCTTCCTAAACTGCAGTTGGCATCTTGAAAGACTGTCCCAGCCACGTTTTTCAACCCCTTCAATAACAATCTAAGAAGAACCATTTCTCAGCACACTGTTGAATAATCACAGTGATCACAACCTTAGTACACACTAAAAGCAGGCCATGCTATCTGATTGGTACAGTACTAGTGTTGCTGAAATGCTGTAACTGCCATTCTCTTCTATCCTATTTTAATTAAGATCTCTGCATGTACCACAGAGCATGGCTAGAAAGGGGAAACTGAATTGAGAACCTCATCTTTAAACAAGCAACTGGCATAGTCAAAAGTGTATTGTGGGGAAAGCTATGCAGCCCAGACCTCACAGCCCTAGAATTCATTATATGGAATAAGACTCTTAATATATAGTTTACCAAAAAGAAAAAGGGAAAAGAAGACCAGCTTTGCAGCACTGAGCAAAAACCAGATGCCGAGATGCAAGCCAAGAACTGCACACAGCACCCCTTTTAGCATTTAGTCCTAATCTGTTAAAGGACTGTATCTTTAGATCAGGCTGTGCATTTTGTTTTCCCAATAATTAGCATTACAAGCTTTCTCTGTCTACCCAATCTTGTTATTTTAGCATCTCTCTTTAATAGAAGAAAGCAGAGTTCCATAAATTTCCTTCCCAAATTTTCTATATGCATTGATGCATGTTCTTGAGATAAATATGCTGCCACATTGGACGTGTTCCTCTCCACCTCTGTTGACCCATTTCTAATCTAGATCACATTGATAACAAAGTCTTTAGGAGGATTATGCAGGTCCAGTATTTGCAGCTTCCTGCCTGCTGTACCAAATGCCCACCTGCAAATGGTAAAGCCACTCTTATGTTTCTCAAGGTAGAAGGGCTGTAGCTAAGCGATAGATCCATTCCTTTGCATGCAGAAGACCCCCAGTTCAATTCCTGGCATTTCCAGGTAGGACACCTGCCTGAAAGCCAGGAAAATAGTATTGGGCTAGATGGGCCAATGGCTGACTTATGAGAAGATAGCATCCGAAATTCCGATGTTCAAAACACAATCTTGTAATTGACACAATCTTGTAGGATTTAGTTGAATATCAAACTTCCACAAGTTTGAAGGTACCACCATTTCTATGGGGAGCAGGTCTGCAAATGGGCTGAAGCAAGCATCTCTGAAATCATTAGGACACAAGCTGGCTTTTGTTTTGTTATGTTTAGGATACAATCATAACAAAACAAACTGGGAATCATTTGGATTTATAATAAGAGTCAAACTTGCTATTTCATATTTGATGGAAACAGGATTGAAAGGGTAAATTTGGGCTGAGATGTAGGTCATTCAGTTGAACAAGTAAATCTGCATATACAAACCTGCCAAAGGCAATTCCTTTACAGGAAGAATTCAGGGCTCAGCAATCCTCCAGAACACTAGGCTATGATTCACGGTTGAGGCTGCATTCATACCACCCAGTATTGATTAAGTTCTGGCTTACCTAGTCTAATGCTTCCATTCAATTAGTTAATGGGCACAAGTTTAGGCAAAGCAACAAATCCCTTCCTTCCAGAAGAATTATAAGCCAATGTTAAGTGCTTATTGAGAATTGAGAAAATTGAGACAATTGAGAAAAAACTCCTCCAAACCTATTTGTAAAATCTTGGATTAGATTCATCTTTTCCACAGGCTTAAGTTCGCATTGCTGTTAGTTCCAACAACTTCCTATTATGTGTGTGCACATGCCATTATTTCAAAGGATACGTGTTATCAAGTAACTATGAAATCCATCACATAGGTGTAATTATACCCATAATTATCATTTTCTTAAACACTGGTGATTAGTGGCTTCTTCAGAATTCTGACTAGAGTCATTACAAAAATTAATTTTCTAGCCCATATTGTCCATAGAAAATGTCTGTTTACCATGGATTTAATCTGAAAAACAAACAAGCCTGACATCCAACAGTCAAACAGTTCTGACATTCCCAGTGATCTTTTATTTTTACATTACCTCTAATGTTAGAATGCACATACTGCATAGGCCCAGCTACTTTCTCTCGCTGCTTTTTAAAATTAGACAGCTAATGTCTAACTCTAATTTTCAAATCGCACTGCTTGGCCTCTATATAGCACTTTGCAGCCCCATATCTGTGCACACTAACCATTCCAAAGTACAGAAGTACATCTCTTTTGACCCATTTTAATGTGCTCTTACCAGCACCATTAAAGGACGATTTTTGTAAGACTCTAACAGATATGTTTTTGTAGTGCTGGAGGCACAGAATAAGACAAACTTGTTCTTCTATATTGTAACTTTTATATGGAATCCAGAGAGAAATTAATTAATCCATTAATAACAGATATCTATATATAGTAATGATGTTTCTACCTTGGTATCAGTTTAAGTGATGTATATTTTTATGTTACTGGAAAGGTTGCCAAAATTTTAAGACTATAATGCAAATTAGGTAAAATTTGCCTGAGTGAAGGCAATTCTTTAAGGAGTAGACTGCTGCTATATTCACTTTAAATTATTATTAATTTTGCTGGTCTGTAACTGTAATGAATGAAACTTCATTCACACACGCTCTATATAGCACTTGAGAGTGATCAATTTGCTTCAAATATCTAAGCGATCCTTACAGTCTCCTGAGAAAGAGCACTTTTATTAGCATCCAACATTACAGATTGGGAAGGTGAGAGTAGTTTGGCTGATGTCACCTAGCAAGTTAACTGCTCCGGGGGAGTTTGAACTTTGAATGTCCTAACTCACACCTTACTGCAGGGATGTCATTGTGCATCCAGGCCATGGTGCTTCCTTGGATTCCTCCAAAGGAATCCAAGAAGCCAAGCTTCACTCTCTGAAGAACTCCCTGTTGCTACCTCCAATCTGAGGTCAGAGGGAACAGCAGGATTCCATTGCACAGGGGCAAGATAATCTCTTGCTCTGTGTTTCTTTCAGCTCAGAAATATGCAAAATGAGCGGAGCCTGATCCTTCAAGCAGTCATTCAACCCATTAAGGGGCCAGGGGACAATTTCTGCACCCCTGCCTTAGTGTCTTAGCTGACCTGACTCTGGTTCCTCACAAACAAGCTGGCACCTTCTTTTTTCTACTAAATGAGTTTTGCATGGCTTCCTAATCTAATTTCTGTTACCAGTGACCTGACAAAAATATACAAAAATACTTGGCCTTTGCTGGTAGATCAGCAATGGCCTGCATTCAGTTTATACCAACATATAAAACGTTCAAGGGCAATATGAATGTTATCAAATTATGGAGTGTACTCCATATGCTATAAATGGGTTGAGTTATGCACAAATTCCTTAAACAGATATATGCAAATAGATATGTGAGAGTCTACGGGCAACTAATTTCCATTCTTTGGATGTTGGCAGATGAGCATGGAGACAGATTGGTGACTGTGTATATTAGCTCTCAACATAGTGTAATAAGAGGCCAGCTGTGCTCAAATTGTCTTTCATTTTCATAAATTTTATCACCTGAGAGAACAAGACAACACTGCAGAATCGTATGGATGCAATTCCCATGATGATCAGAAGTCTATGATTTAACACAAAGATTTTTTCCTGGAGATAACACATGCTGAGCTGATTTTAATGAGGCCTGCACTTAAAATTGATGATCCTTTCATTTGTATTCTGTTCTGCTCAAATGCAGCAAATTCCATGGCTCAGGGACAATTGAAAGATTGCTATCAGCCAGTCTTAAATGGGCTGGTTAAAACTGCTAGACATATTTTAAAGATCACCTATAATCTTTGCCCTTTGAACATCAAGTTGGAGACAACCATGATCCTTCAGGCATCTCTGAGTTAGTAAACCCTATCATGAATTACTCTGAGTTGTATTTCAGTTACCAGAGTCTGCAGTATAACTGAGGAAGACAAACATTACCTGAATTCCTCATTTTGCCAGATTAGAGCCAGTGTGTTCCAACAACGCAGGGAAATGATTCTCTTCAGACTAATTTCAAGATAATCACCTTCCATTCTCAGTTACTTTTAACAATATTCAGCTTCTGATTGGACTAACAACAACAAAATCAATATTGCTGGATGTTAACAATGACTG